CAGGAGACTCGCTTGAGCCCAGGAGTTGGAGGTTGCTGTGAGCTGTGATGCCATGGCACTCTACCCAGGGGGATAGCTTGAGGCTCCTGTCACAAAAAAAAAAAAAAAAAGAAAGAAAGAAAGAAAAGAAAAAGAAAAGTCAATTTCGTCCCCTCTCTACGTTTCTCTTAAATCTGACCAAATTCTTTATAGGCAGACTCCCAATTCTTCCTTTATGAACCCAACCTATGGTTCCCCTTAGTTTTTTAAACACAGGGTAGAGAGCAATCTAATAACTACCAAAAACATTTTAACCAAAAGTACCTCTCCACTCCCGATATCCCAGTAAAATCCAAGACTAAAAGATCTACAACTGGAAAGCTTTGTTTTATTTTTATATTGATTTCATTTTACCGGTCCTACCAAGGATTCTATGCATGGATTTTGTATCTGTAAGGATCACACCAGATTTCTTTAGGCCTTAGGATTGGAGCTGTTAGGAATCAGGCATTTTGGAAAGGAACGCACTGTATATAAACTTCTTAGCAAGAATTTACTAACCCAATTTTTTGACCTTGGATTCTACAAGGCCAGGAGGCTGAATGCCAGGTTGGATCTCATCCAGAGCTTCTTTTCTTCTTAGTTCTCCAGGTTTCTGGGCTTACCCAGGGGGGTTGCTACAGAGAAGAAGCGGTGGTAGCTTCTAGGCTCATCCCAGAATCCCAGGTGAGCTGGTGTTCCTCTCCCTCTCCCACTGCCCCACACTCTTCACTACTGTTGGCCTACCCATTGGGTTCCTCTCTCCTCAGTCCTTCTTCACCCTTAGCCTAGATTCACATTGGATCTGAGTTTTCCCATCTGCCCCAAGGTTGCTTATCATTGCCTTCATTCTCTACCCACCTAAGAGGGTTTTCCTATGTTGCTACCTCCTTGGAGGGTGCTCTGTGCTTTTCAGATCTTTCCTATCCCATCTCTTTGGCCAGCCCCTTTATCAATGTGATTTTCTTCAACAAGGGCAATTCAGCAAATGCAAACTAGAGGTTCTGTTGGGATGATGGGTGTTTTTTTTACTAGCATAATGAATTGTGCTATTGATGAGGGATATAAAGACCTGGCATCACATAACTTATATTTGAGGGGACAGATAAGTAATATCCTTTTAGTCTGAAGTTACTTATAATTTGAAAAATCTTTAACCTAGATTTTAATTTCTTAGTCCTTCATGTCCTACTTGAAGATCTTAGTGTTTGAGGCTCTGTAGCATCATTTCTTTTTTTCTGATTTTTCTTGCCACAGTTCTAAATTAACTATATTTTAAAAATCATTAATGTAAATGAGCCCCAACTCCACTTTGCCAAAGCACAGAACAAATCTTTTGGAAAGTTTGACTATAGCTTCATTCCTTTTGCTACATTGGCCATGTTTTCCAACCTTTTCATTTTCTGGACTACTTAGAAATATATATGAAAGTACTCATACTAATGTATGTCATATTTCTTTCCTTTGGCAGTTTTGTTTTATAAAGGTATTATTAGAGACATGATTAAGTAGTTGTGGGTGGGCTACACTTGCTGTTTTCTAAAGAGCCCCCCTTTACAGGGAATGTTCATTCTTTGCATGCACCCAGCTTTGAGGGTGATTTGGGGCAAAAGGACAGAATTATTTACTGTTTTAGGGGATGTTGAAAATGGAAGATGTGACCCTGACCCTCTCTCCTGGGTGGACACAGCGGGATTCATCTCAAGTGAACCATGGCAGCCTGGTCCCTCTGGGTAAGACTGACAGGCAATAATTTCTCTTAAGGTTTCTTAGCATTCTCTATGTTTTAGAACTATTGGGCCCCATTTTGTTTGGATGTAGAATCATCATTTCTGACAGCCTATTACTGTTATAACTGGCTCCTTACCCCTTCTGACCTTGCTTTCTTCTCTGCCCTGCCAATGTGCTAGTCAGATAAAGCAAGATGAAGCAGCCACAGCCCTAGTCCAGGTTTGAGTCATAATAGATGCTCAGTAAATGTTGATTTCCTCTTCTCCCCTCCTGTTCCTGGCCCTGACAGAAGAGGAAGGCTGAGAGGCCTCTTTAGGAAATGGGCTATAAAGTCAGAATGTGGGAATTAGAGTGACCTTAGACATTAACTATGGGCGCTGTCCTCAAAGATGAGGGTACAGAGGCACAGAAGACAGCCTGACTTGCCTGTTGGTGACAGTAGGGGCTCTAGCCCAGACCTCCCAGCACTGAAGCCAGTTCTATCTGGGGACTCTGCCTCTGCCTGGGACATAGTTAGAGATAAATGCCTATATTATTGACTGAGGACCAATTTCTGAGTCTCTGCTTTTACTGTTTCTTGCAGACTGCTTCAGAAATCCTGCACTTGCCCGGTTTACTGTTGTCTTCTGCTCAGCCCCTTTAGCCCCTAAGTTCTCCTAAGGCAGGGCATAACTGACAGTTGCTGGCCTTTTATTGTTTCAGGTGGTGAGATACAGACTAAGATCAGGGACTTACCTCCAGCTGAGGAGCTTCCAGAAAAACAGCCTGGGCAGATACTGTGCCACCTGAGTGAAGACACTGTCGGAATTCCTACATATGCTAAAGCTGGTGAACAGGAGGGCAGGCTGCAAAGAAAGCAGAAAACTGCCATAGGGGGGAGGCGACATTATTGCCATGAATGTGGAAAGAGTTTTGCCCAGAGTTCGGGCCTAACTAAACACATGCGAATTCACACTGGAGAGAAACCCTACGAATGTGAGGACTGTGGGAAGACCTTCATTGGGAGCTCTGCCCTGGTCATTCATCAGAGAGTCCACACTGGTGAGAAGCCATATGAGTGTGAAGAATGTGGCAAGGTCTTCAGTCACAGCTCCAACCTTATCAAACACCAGAGAACCCACACTGGGGAGAAGCCCTATGAGTGTGATGACTGTGGGAAGACTTTCAGCCAGAGCTGCAGCCTCCTTGAACATCACAAAATTCACACCGGGGAGAAACCATACCAGTGTAATATGTGTGGCAAAGCCTTTAGACGGAATTCACATCTCCTGAGACATCAGAGGATCCATGGCAATAAAAGTGTTCAGAATCCTGAGCGTGGAGAGGCTTGGGAAAGTCAGGATAGGATGGAAAGCCAGTGGGAAAGTGTTGAAACTCCTGTGTCCTATAAATGTAATGAGTGTGAAAGAAGTTTCACTCAGAATAGAAGCCTTATTGAACATCAAAAAATCCACACTGGCGAAAAACCTTATCAGTGTGACACATGTGGAAAAGGCTTCACACGAACGTCATACCTTGTTCAACATCAGAGAAGCCATGTAGGGAAAAAAATTCTGTCACAGTGACCCATGTATACATGGCAAATTTAGTGCCCATGCATCATTGACCTGAAGCCACTCTGGAGCCCTTACGGGTTATGGAATTTGAGGGCTCGGGCTTTATTACCACTCCACATCATCATGTGTTAGAAAATACCATCTGGCTGAGAAGAATTGTCTTCTATAATCTAGAAAGTGACTGGGAAATAAGTTATTTAATAGGTCATGAGAGTGTTGTCTGGAAGAGGTAAGAACAGAAATGGTTTGTTCTTACTGGATTTAAATGGCCTTCCAGAATGGCTAATATCTCTCAGCCAATACTTGATGTCTCGTGGTTAGGTAGCTCTGATTTGGGGAGCTGCTGCCCTGCCATTCATTCATTTTGCCTATAATGAGTCCTTCACAATTTGGTCAGATTCATGAGGTTTTACCCCACCCCCTTTGTGCCTTGCATATAGGTGCTAAGAAACATTTACTAGATACCATTAAAATGACCTTCATAGCTCTGAAAATCTAATGTTTTCTAGATTTCTAACTTTGGCCATTTGCATTTATGTCTAATTCTCTGAGGTTCTAGATTGTGTCAATCTAGTGTATTTGTTGCCAACTACATATTGTTGTCAGAGTTGGAGTGGGGGAATCCTTATTTCTTCACCAGGACAGTATGTATAGTAAGAATGCCTTAAATAGCTTCTTTTTTTTTTTTTATTGAATGGTAACTGTGTATTCCCAGACAACCAAAATAGCTTCTTTGTCATTAAGACATATGAGACTGTTCATCCATAGAATTCAATTTTTTTTTTTTTTTTTTGAGACAGAGCCTCAAGCTGTCCCCCTGGGTAGAGTGCCGTGGCATTACAGCTCACAGCAACCTCCAACTCCTGGGCTCAAGCGCGTCTCCTGCCTCTGCCTCCCAAGTAGCTGGGACCACAGGAACCCGCCACAACGCCCGGCTATTTTTTGGTTGCAGCCGTCGTTGTTTGGCGGGTCCGGGCTGGGGATTCGAACCCGCCACCTTAGGTGTATGTGGCTGGTGCCTTAGCCGGTTGAGCTATAGGTGCCGAGCCGAGAATTCAATTTTTTAATCAATGTTGATTTGCATTAATTTTGCTACTCTTTAGGGAGAAATCTTTTACATTCAGGAAAATAAAAATCAGTTTCTCAAGTCAGTTCAAAATGATTATAAATTTTGATATAAATTCTGTAATGCTTAACATCTTGCTTCTCACTTTTTAATTATCTTAGGCCTAACCAAGTGCTAAGACATTGCCTGTATCCTTCTCCCCCATTTGTAGTCAACTATGCATCAAGGCTTATGCCAACTAAACTTAAACTTCCTCCAGGTCAGAGGATTCACACCAAATATGTATACTTATTATCTATGGTTTAAAACTGCCTTGTCACTTGGGGATAAGAAGATCAGGTTAGAGGCAGCTAGTGAGGATAGCAGCCCAAATATGGGTGGTAGGAGAAAAATGTGTCTGTTGAGACACATCAGAAATCCTGAAAAGGATTCTACGATATCCAAATTATCAACATGATTTATCAAGATTCAAACCTATGAGTTAATCCCAAGAAATATTTTGATGTCTTCTGTTTTTACCCAAATCATCCTCATTCTTTAAAGACTTTAAAAAAAAAAAAAAAACAGACTTTTTCTTCCCAGGTGCTGAGTACATATTACCAGCTTCCAACATTGCCAGGCTCTGGCATGAATGGATTCTGCTTCTGATGAAATTCAATCACCAGCATAGTGTTCTTCTCTATTGTCAAGTGACCTCTCTGGATTCCTGCTGTGAAATACCATAGGCTGACTAGGGACTTTGAAAACCACAGAGCTCTGCCTATATTAATTCCCTGCAATCTGTTATCTTCATTGCCCCCTTGTTTCAGTATAATTTAAAACTACTTTAGCTTTCCAAAGTTCTGTAGACTTTCTCCACTCAATCTTTTCTAGGCTTTTTAAAATTTCCTTTGAAATTAACCTTATTTTTGTTACCGCCACAAAACTAGCCACTTCTCTTTTAAGGTTTCCTTTTTCTAAATAGTTGCTAATATTCACAATCTTAAACACTCAAACTGATTAGTAAACAACTCTGTTCATTTTTCTTGGGTATTTAGTTATTTCTGATGTTATATGAAGAGACGTGTGTGAAAGACTTTTACAAACCGGAAAGCATTACACAAATGTAACTTAATGAGATTAACAAAGGACCACTGTGCCTCCTTTCAATCCTCCTGCTCCTTCCAAACGTAAAAGCGTTTTCTCTGTAAGAGAGGGAAATACTGTAAGAAAGTACTTCTGAGTGCCTACTATGCTAGGTAGGGGAAGGGAGAAAGCCTCTAATTATCCATGTGCATGTATGTGTATGTGTACATATACATGTATGTACATGCTTGGGCTTAGGCCTTTAGTATGATATGATTGATAAGACTTGCACACAAATACGCTGGTGTAATAACTGCCTTGTAAGTGATAAAGTGAGGCCTGTAGAATTTCTGAGAAGAAAAAAATTACTCTGGCTCGGCGCCTATAGCTCAACCGGCTAAGGCGCCAGCCACGTACACCTAAGGTGGCGGGTTCGAATCCCCAG